CCCATGACAGGAGGAAACTGCCTCTAACCAAAGAGTCCAGGATATTACCTCTTTGTACTTTCTATGTTCCATCTGGTGTTTACATTGATCAGCCCTTTCAGAGATCTCAAAATCAACTTTCCATGACTAGTCATCCTTGCTTTTGTTACTGGTTGAATTATCAACACAGGGGCTGTATGTTTAATTGGATCACAACAACACATTTATGGGATCTTTGTTGAATTAACCCTCTTTGATAAGCTTTCCTGGTCCTATTTCAGCAGTTCCATTTAAATAAGCCTTGTCTTTTAATTAATAATTATTTTATTGTGCAGGCAATATGTCTCATTTATCAATCAAGTATTCCTCTCTATCCTAAGAACATCCACTTATTTCTCAGACTAATCTGCTTTTTCATACATGTTAAACCTTGTGATTATTTTAATGATGTTCAGACTTCAACAGTTTTATCCTGATGTCACCTTGAATTTTGCTACCGAAACCTTTAGTTACCATATTTTAAATTCTTCTCTTTGCATGCAATGACAACTTAATTTTCTAAGGTCAGATAAAACTAAATGTTTACTTCCAAATTAATGCTGTAGGTAAATGTTCTTACACAGAGATTGCCTACATTGCTGGAAAAAAACCAAACAACCTACACCAAAACTGGAAGCCTCCCAAAACTGATCCTATTAACAGCTAGAAATGAATAAAGCTGTATAGAAATGCATCCACTATGGTTATACAAAAAAGGCGTGAATACAAGTTTCTTGCTCCTGTGTTTATAAAAGCAAATTTAAAAAAACAAAAAAAAAGCTGACTAATTATCTGAATGGATTTAAACTCTTTTTTTATAGAATCCAGTTAAATAATGATGTACTTTTCCTTTTACATCATGCAGATTATTAAAAACACATAGGAACTCTCACCTTTGAAATCTATTTCTCCTGCCTTGTTTTTTTAGTGAAGGTATAAATTTATAATGCAGGTCTCAAGAGACAGAGGGGAGAGGCCTGGCCTAATTCCGAGGATTTCAGGTTTTTTAATTTGAGAAATGAATACCATTTATCTGCCTGAAAACAAACCCGGAAGAACAGCACTACGCGCTTGAAAGACCTGTATGGACGTCAAAGCACTTTGATTAGGTCAAAGTGCTATAATAAGCACTTTGCTATATCATATTTTGAAAATTGCTTTATCATATTTTGAAAATATTTTGTTATACTTGTCTAAGTTCAGGACTAGAAGTCAGGCTGACAGTGACTCTGTAGATCACCTTAGTAAAACTACTTCAACTTTTTTCCTCAAATATTCCACCTGGAAAATGGGGACAATAATGCAGATTCTTTCATGTGAGAATAAAGAAAGGGAGTAAAAGCTTTATTTAAGGCATCTTGGAGATTAAGCTAAAGTACAGTAAAATGTTACCAGACTTTGACAGTTATCTACCCTTCTGCCCTAGAACTATCAAAGAAAACTAAAAGTCTTAGACATACCTTTTAAAGGTAAAACTGAGACAGTCACCTTTGTGAAACAACAGAGTTAAATAAAAAAATTCAAACTGGGCAGAGTAAACACTAAATATATTAACTGCATATGTTCATTTCAGAAAAGAGAATGAGAACAAAAAAAATTACAAAAATGACTTAGTTTAAGAAAAGTAAAACAGCCTAGTATTATTGGGATTTTTTACGTGATCAAATGATGTACCCTGTAAAATTTGCACCACTCCAGTTTACTCGATTACTACGTGTAAAAAAAAAAAAAAAAGGATCAGCTAATATATATGGGTCCAATTTCATAATAGCACAGGTCTTTTTAGATTTTTTTTTTCAGTCCAGGACACTGAAAACAAAGCATATAAAAAGTTGTAGATGGAGGCATATTAGAGTAAAGTATATGTCTGAACCATCTGGGAGTCTTAGGTAAAAATTTTTCAGTTCAGAATTTCCACAGACACAGGGGAAAGCACAGGTCTGAAGAATTACAAACAAATAACGTTTGTACCAGAAGACAGGTTTTCTTCCATTCATATTCAGTAAATATGAGGAAAAAGGTATTGGACAATCATGTGGAGAAAGGGGCTGATGCTTTCTCCAATTCAAATTTTGCTTAAGTTTAGTAAAAACGTGATTTCAAGAACCGATGATAATAAAAGTTACTCTAGTAAAGGAAATTTACTAACCACAAGATAGAAATGAAATTAAACCTATTACAATAAGCATACTTAAGCAACAGATCCCTCCCACAAAAAAGTGGAAATTGAAGGGAAAGAATGAAAATAGAAAAAATTTACACCTACCCTGAATAGGCTAGCAGAACAGTGATAACTGGAAGCAGATAATATATGGTCACTTTCTCAGACTGAAAAGCCCAGATAGCGACCCTAACACAGAGAGTTTGAAATCATTACAAAAATCATTTGAGAAGAATCTCCTTTGTCAGTCTTATGAATAGTATAATTCTTAATTCAAGTTAATGGCTTAGGGATAAATCCTGGGGAAGAAGCAAATCCTTCAAGAAAGGCCTCTGCTCCATACAAAAGCTATCAAAGAGCTTAGTGACAAAATCCTCTGCCCCAGTTGGTCAGACTGCCTGGGCAGCTGGTCTATCACAGTTAATATACCTTGTAAAAGGTAATAGACTTACAACTGCCTACTTTCCATGTAGATTTTTGGTATTTTCTTCTAGAGGATTTCAGGGGTCTGCTTTGAGATTTCAATGGCATTGGATCTTCCGCTCTCACCCCATATATCATTCAAATAATTCGGTGTCTCACCTGATCCGGTATTTTGCCACTTGTGGTTTCTGATGGACCCAGAGCCATGTTTTCACAGGGGAAATTAATTTTATGCAGTTTATGGTTCATTATCTGACATTACTGTGAAAAAATTACTTCCATTTCATTTAACGACAAACACTATATGACTGCATCATCATTTTAAATTACCTTGCAACAGTCAGACAGTTATAGGCCTACAGGCTGCTGCCTCTGGCATGCTTTACAAAGCAATAACAATCTCCTGTTGCCTTCATTGTACAACTTCCTGTCTTTCATACAATATTCATCATAATCAAGCAGTCGACTTTTTTCCATATCAGAGTACCACCTACCTCATAATATATGTGTCATTATGATTTCTACGCAGTAAGCATTGAATGTTCATTCTGAAGTTAAATAAGAACTGAGACATATATATATATGCACATATATATGTATACTGACATATATGGTAGAACTTTTCCCATTCTTTACTTCAAGTACTATTCTTTTTGTAACAGTATGCTTCTCAACTATTTTTCTCTTATCATTTATCTGCCCACTTTTCTTTAAACATTTAATTAACACAGTTCGAAATTGTCAAGATAATGTGTTTTTACCTTCCTTATTTTCTCTTGATTTGCCTAAGAACATGATAATTAGTGTTTGTTATATGCAGCATGACATTTCTTCTTTCTCCAGCAAACTAGTAATTTTTTACTCTTAATTTTTTTGACAATATTACTGTCACTGAACTTGTTCCTTTTGAACCCTATTATTTCCTTTTATTCTTCTTTCACATTTTTTAAACCATTCTTCAAAGCAAATTTTTCAGTTGATTTGTCAGCATTCAGGTACACATATACCATGCCTTTCTTACATTTTCTCCCTTAAAGTTTTCCAATTATCTACAAACTTTACACTTTCCTTTCAAAACAGTTCTTTCAAAATGTCTTTTATTCTGTTTACATTTTTCTTTATGTTTCATCTGTAATGATTGTATCAAATGTATGAAAATGCAACCAAAAAAAGGTATTTCCAAATTAACTTTAACATCTTTATTAATATGTATGCAAAATTTTGGAAGATAATCTAAAAGATACTAATTGCTCCTGTCACACAATCCTGCAAAATGCGATATTTCAGCTCATTTAAATATGCACCTTATATGCTATTTTTATCATTAACATTTTTACATTAAATTTAGCTAGTATGTCATGTAATACAGCATCACAAATACTTAGGAAGTGGAACCAAATGAGTCCTGAATTGTTGTGTGCCTTTTAAGATGGGGGTTCCTATGCTTGAGGCTATTTTGACACCCTAGAAGCATTTCCATTTTTCATAACTGAATAGCTCCATAAGTAAAACTTAAGCCTAGATCTTCAATTCCCACTCACTGATTTCACTTTTTTCTACTGTAGCTGTTCTACTTTGCCAGGAATAGTTAAAGATCTATTGAGATCCAATGCCAGAGCATTCACAACACCTATCATCCAGCCGCAAAGAAACATAACTGCAGTCTGTTCTGATTAATACTTCAGTTTATGTGAGGGAAGGATAGAGGAGTGCACTGTGGAGTAAAAGAGGGAGACTGGAAACAGCTCTTTCTTTCCCAAAGACAATCAAACTCGTGTTCAGCTTTTGAAAGAAAGTGTTTCAGGGTCCAGTTCTTGGCACAGGTTCAAGACTATGAACCTGATGTGAAGGGAGATGTGCCTTGAAACCCAGAGGAAACATAAGACTATCTTAAAAGGGTGCAGATTTAAGGTACAACTATTTCTCATTTTACTTATCTGCTAGCATAGACACCTTTTTTACACTGTAAGCTGATACAGATATGCTTCACTTTCCCCAAGCTCCAGACCGTTACTTATCACTGTAAAAAAAGGTGATACACTCACAAGTGAGATGCTGTAGCATGAAGTTCAAGCACTTAAATGTCCTTTGTGGATCTAACCCAAAGTCACTTTTGGAAACAAGATTTAGGGCTTCTGAAACTTTCACCCTGTGTGTCCTGGGGTTACGTGTTGAGATATAAGGAAATTATTTATCAGGTCTCTTGAGCCCCAGTTCCCCCATGTGATCACAGGATGTTTCTCCTCAGCACATTAATTCAGTCAGGGCATTGACACCAATATAATGTAACAAAAAGAACTCTCAGGTTCATGCCCATTTTCCAACACAAACTTGCATTGGATACCTACTGCCTATGCAATGTATGTTTATGTACATTTTTACTTTTTATCTTTTCCAGAAATCCCTAATAAGATAAACCGTGGTGAAGCCAAACATCTTGCAGATGCCTCAGGGTCAGACAAAACAGAAAGAACAACAAAGAGGTCCAGAGTATCAACCATAAGGCGGATATTTGACATGGCAAAACACCGAACAAAGAGGTCATCCTTTTTCTCAACTGGTGTGAAAGTCTGCCCACAAGAATCAGTGAAGCAGATTTTAGCCAGTCACCAAGCTTACTATAGATTAAGAGGTAAGATGATGATTGTAACATGTACTTCCTCCTTGAAAGTATTTCTTTTAATTGAGGAAACACAGTAATTTTCCAGAATCTTGTTCTGTAGCTCTAGGCAGAGTATGTGCTATTTGCTTTATGCTTTATTTTTGCATAGATAATCAAATGTTACATGTACATTAGCACAGTTCAAGACAGACAGTTACCAGAACAGAATAAAACAATGTAGTCAAAGGACTAATGAACTCAGTGTAATTGCATAGTGTTCTAGCATGGCAGAACACGAAGACCAAATTATGCTTGCAATACTTTCAGAAGTGCAGCAGGTACTATCATTGCTATGCAGAATTAATCCCACCAGCTCAAGACAAGTAATGAAACTATTCATCCGTCATTTCACAAATATGTTGGTGTATATGTAGTTATATTAAGTCTGTGACAGTGTTGGTGTGCTACAAACACAGACAATTGCTAGCAGCTCATGCAAAGACCTTAGTCTTATTTTTAAAAATTCTAGAATGTTTTTTCTGCCCTTTCCCAATTAATTCACTCCCTCTCCAGCCCTTTATTTACCTCCCTTGACCATAGAGAGCCTATAGAGTTACCACTCCAATTTTAGGTCCCTAGAGAGCATGGTGCAAACAGCCATCTGTTTTTTATATTTCCTCTCTTCCTCCCTCTACCTCTCCCAGTCCTTCATTCTGTGGCTGTTCCAATTTGCATTAGAAAAATGCATATTTTTGTGCTGCAGCTAAACAGTCCAAAGCTAATTCTAAAACCTAGTCAGCACTTCTGGGATGCAAGTATCTAAGGCAACATCTACTTTCTAGATCAGCTTTGCTTATCTATTTGTCCTCTATATTGGTCTCCAACCATTCACATACGTGTATGTAACTTGGCTGCTCCTCAGCTCTCTTTCAGGGAACCAGCTAGTTCCCTCTAAAATGAAATCTGGATGTAGAGCTGCAAAAACTTTACTCCAGCAGCCACTTGTTATAGGCAGCATGGGCAAACTACACCAATGTCTGTAGCCATTCCTGTAGATACAAACATATTTGGTATTCATTGTGGGACTGAATTCCAGCCCAATGGGCATTAGACAGAATTCTGAAACATGTGTTAAAGAGGCCTTTCTTAAACACTAGTTAATCGTGAAAGTCCCTAAAACTCACTGGTCACATCCATGACTGGGCTGAAAACAAGCTATCCTGGGACAGGCTGGTATCATTGACCTGAACTCAAAGAACTGCATCTAGGACATTTTTGTTTAAAAACTGATGATGACAATGCTACCACCTTTTTGGAGAGCAGCACATCAGCTGGGATATTGGGATCTGTAAGTCTTGTAGTGCAAGCAGGTTTAAACTTACAGCCCTCTTTCCCAGCAGTGTCCTACACTCATAAAATTCTCTGAGTAGGTATCATCCAGTTCTGAAGCCAGAGTACTTCCCAAAAAGTAAGCAAGAGAACAGATGACTGCAGCTGAATAATTTGTACACTCATTCAGAAAAAAGTGTTTCTGCTCCCTTGAATAGTTGCACATTTTCCATTACAATGTCCTTCGTTAAAACCTGAAAAAATCTTTCCTTCAAGGAAAGATCAGAACCCAAGACTTCTGCCCTCCCAGCTGAGCATGCTAATTTACCTGACGAAAGTGATAAATGGAAAAAAAAGTGGTAGTGAAAATGTGGTGATGCAAGCATTATCCTTGAAGCTGTAACCACAGTACGAGCCTTCACAAAAAGATAATCTGATAGCCACGCCGAAGTCTTACAGCTTGTGCCTATCTGTGGGACAATCTTACCTTCATTTTGTTTTGTAGATATACCTTTAGGTCCGTTCTTCTCTAAAGTCTAGGAGACCACTTTCACCCCTCCAAGTCTCGTGACACATTTAGAACTGTAACAGCACTGTGGATCATATCTGTCCTCTAAAGAATTTTACTGCTTCCTAAGAAAAATTACACAATTTTTTTTTACATATATATGTATATTCTCTATGCTTTCAGGAATGCGCACACAACACAAAGCAGCTCAGATATAGGAGCTCAGACAGTTACTATTGGATAACCTGAGCCTACTGTGACCCTATACCAACTCTGAAATAACACACCATAGCTTAAGTCACCATGAAGACAGTCCCTCATGTGGGGCAAACTGGGAGCATGCATGGAATCAGCTACAATGCCTCCTCAGCTGGCCATGTGTCATGTTTATCTAAACCCTGGTAACTGGATTGCTTTTCATCAGATAAGATTTCTTTATTCAGCAGTTACTGCTCAGAAAAACAGATACCAGAGAGTTGTAAGTGAGAAAAAGATGACAGAAAGTAGCCTTAATGGCTAGCTCATAATGAATAAATCTCTTCAAAAGACAGCCTGTTCTTTTTTAATAACCTGACCACATCTGCTCCACATGCAGCTGCTCTACCGGGAGGGTAGGTTGTTCCTGAGGTATTGTTGAGGTGCCCTAACACAGCTAAGTGAGTACATCTGTACAGCAAGTTTAGAGAATACCTAGAGAAACTGACTGCATTAATTTCAGAGACACCGATAGATAGTGCAGAGATAGATAGATAAAGACATGGGTTAGAAAATGCAGATAATTATCTCACTCTAAGTCAAAGCAGGTATCAAGTACTGAAAATAAATGTCCCATCTCACAGTAATGAACTTTGCAAAGTAAAGTGCTAGAGGCAACAGCATTTAAATTGCTGGCAAGTTTTGTTGAAATGGTTTTTCTAGTATGTTTGAAAATCCCCTTCTGTAAAAGCATTTAACTTTAAACAACATTTTTAAGAAGTGTGTTCCTTCATCTTGAATGAGCGTACATTATATTTTCACAAAGCCAAAAATACAGCTGGCTTTGTTAACTCTAACAATATCAGAGGAATCAACAAGTAGTGACAGAGGCAGTTGCCCATGAATTGGAAGGTATAGCAACAGCTGAGATAAACTGAACTGGTTCTGTTCAAAACACATTGATTCTAGCAGCCACTGAGCCATGTTGGTTATCCTACACAACTGAGTTCACAGACCCTGCAGAGTGGATATTTCTGCAGTTAAGTAGGAAAGTCCACGCAGAACACACTTCCTGGCTGGTGATAGCTTGAGGATCTCTTTGGACCACTCAGTGATTTTAAACATGACTCAGGTGCAGCCAGGATTCATTCTATGTTTAGTTTGAGGCTGTGCAAAGTGAGTTAAGTGAAACCCAAATATTTTGGGTTTGGGGAAGGGCTGGTAGCGGAACAGAAATCCAAAGACATGTTAGTATAGTTAGTCAGATAGGCAGTAGCTGTCTGGAGGAGGGAACAGTTTATCCTCCGGAATCTTTTAGAAATGGTTTCCACTTACAAAAAAGAGGAGACTTCAGCAAGGTGTTGGTAAAAGTGCACTCAGAAGTGTAGCCCCACCTGGCCATCTGTGGCTCTGAAAAACTCACTTCTGCAGACATATCTAAGACCTGTGTTATCAGAATCATCAAGGGAAGGTAAATCCTGTAAAGTATTTCTGAGCAGTCATTTTATAACCTAGCTGCTGCTGCTTTCTCCCCTCCCGCATGTACTCATGCATGTCATGATCCTCACTCACAGCGGTAGAGAGCAAGGTCTTTGCAGCAGGAACTTACCTTTTACAAGTTTTCTCTGAAATGCCTGACAGAGTTCTGACTGCTAGAAAATAGATCAAAAAACTGGACGCCAAGCCCAAATATTCATTCTAATATATTTTGTAACACACTACAGCTGAACTTCACAGCTTTCTTGCATACAGAGTGAGCCAACAGAATATGTAAAAGTATAAGTCTCCATTATTATATTACTTTTTACATACTTTCATGTAATTAAGCCCGTTTGCATCCAGTAAATGAAGCTCCCTGAGAGCCATTCATGAAAACCACCTTTTCAAAATCTCCCCCACTGTCTTACTCTCTTTATGTTCATTTCCATTTCCCCAAATGATGCAGAACACTGCTGTTCTCTCTGCAGCCACAGTACCTATTAATCTTGTCTGATGTAGCCTGGCATTTAACTGGGTGATTCATCACCATGGACAAGATATTTAACATTGAACAAATGACTCTGTACAGTTGTGTAGAGAGGAAGGAAATCATGTTCATTCCAAAGGAATTTCACCTATACTAAGTCACTCAATTTTTCCGTAGGTGTTTAAAGAAACATAAAAGCATGTACCTGCTGCAGAATGTCCTTAAGATTTTGAAAAGACTAATTACATTGAAAATTTGGAATATAAACAAATCATTTTAGCCTGCTGCATCTAAAATATATTTTTTCCATTAAAATTTGTTGTTATATGTATGGGGAATATCAAAATCTTGAATATGGTTTGTTTAGTTTGTTCTATGCATAGTTAACCATACTAATGTACAAAACCTTTGTATACAGTTAAAATTGTGATTATTCAAGTATGATGACTGCTAGATTTTTTTTTTCTCTACCTTCCTGATTTGCTTTCACTAGAACAACCAGTGTGTATCTTTGAATGTATGTACCTTTGAGGTGAACAAAGTGTGCTTTGTGTTTGCTCCTTATTCATTATAATGATGTCGGGCCAAATTAATCTCTCTTTTAAAATGAGGGGAATTAGCAATCCTTAACTCAAAGACAGTTAATCTTTCAGCATAAAGGCAAATGTCTGTTAACTCAAAAATACCTAAAAGACCTAAATATCTGAAAATACCTAAATATCTGAAAATACCTAGAAGCTGGATTTTTTTACCAGGTATAGTAAGATGTGTAAATCCCAAATCACTTTAAAAAGGCTTTCAAGTTTACTTTTTGGTACAAAGCCTCCATCCCCAGCCCCTTTCTTCTTACTCAGTCTGCCAGGAAGCTGTGTGGGAAGCCTTTCGTATTTTTCTGGATCGGATTCCTGATACTTCTGAATATCAGAACTGGGTTACTGCTTGCCAGAGGGAAACCTTCTGCATATTCGACATTGGCAAAAATTTCAGCAATTCCCAAGAGCATCTGGAAATAATCCAACGGGTAAGGATTACTGATATTTGTTTAGAAACTGGGGGAGACTTCCAAGTCCCTCCCCATCTGCTTATATAAGGGCAAAGTATTGTTCAGGAAGAGGAGGGGGCATGTGTTAGAAGGAAAACATAAGAGTACAGTAAACAAAAGAGCTAACAGGCTTCTGCTCAATGGTTGGATACACCCACTAGTAAAATGCTGTTTTTCTTAATCTTTTCGCAGCGAGTAAAACATAGAACCTTCCAGGAAAGGTAAGTAGCACAAGTAGAACCTTGCCGCTTGATGTTACTGCCTTTTTTGAAAAAGATCTGTGTAGATGTGCGTGGATGTGAGCAGATATACAGATAGCACTGTGGTGTATTTGGTGTGTGCTGTAAGAGATGTATATACTGTATGTATAATAGTACACAATAATTGAATCACAAATAATGAAGGTGGCGAAACATCTGAGTTGCCTGTTCACTTTGAGACATCACAGAATGTCTTCTTGGACTAATGTGAGCATGAAACCCTGACAGAGCCACGGCTTTCCGTCAGACTAGTGTTGATTGGGAGTGTGACAAAAGATTACCCACAATTGCTATAATTCTCAAAAGGAAGGTCAGAGAGCTTAACAAAAGTTTACCTGGGAGGCTACATTAAGCAATAATATGAAAACTCTATGCCTTCACTTTAGCTTTCCCCTCTGTTTTTACACATCATGATAGCGTTAACTAATGTGATGTTTTATTCCGTAAACTCTTGGGAAAAAAGCATGCTCCTGGCAATGCTCAGAAGTCTGAGAATGGCAGGATTAAAGTTACTGAACTGTCTCTCTGCATATAAATACTATAGTACAGCCAGACAAATCATTGTCCACAGTTTCTCTGATTAATGTATTTTTTTTTCCTTCAAATTTTCTTAGATTTTCAGGTGTTGCAGATAATCTTTTCCATTCATAAGTTATACTGTCTCATGATCGCAGAGGTCTATGTGTCTTTATTCATTACGGCATGGGAGCTTTGAGTGTCCTTCTTTCTCAGAAATGTATTTTTAATAATGTAGGGCCTAATTAAACTCCCCTGGAAAGGGGAGACCTCCCTCCAAAGGGAGGTCTTTTCACTCAGTCTAGTGCAAACAGCAGCAGCAAGGCAGTAAGTGAAGTGACTGATTTCAGAGTTCTTATGTTCTTTGTGAACAGCACGGTTTTCCCTAGACACAATTCAGAAGGTGAAGTAAATTCTATGAGTTACTCATTTTTAGCTGGAAATACAGGCAGCCATGATTATGCATTGTTGGACTTCATCTTTAGTACTGTGTGGTTTGGGAAGCAAACTTCGTGAAAACATTACAAATAATACTTTAGTTCTCACCACACAAGATATCCAGAGGATATGGTAAATCAGGAGTTGTTCATGTTCTTTATTTATGTTATTAAACATCTAGGTTGGTCCTGTATAGAAATGCAGCCCAGCCTTTTCTGTCTATGCTACAAGCTTCACATTGTCTCAGTTAATATCACACCATGCATTTGCAGTGCCCTTAGTTCTTTCACTCATATCAGTTTTCACAAACACTCCACTTGTGTGCACTGCCTTAATAATAGCTATTTCTGTAGAAATTTTGAGGAATTCTATCCTCATTTATTTCCATTATTGGGCTTTTTATTTTATGCTGTTGTTTTTTCCTCACTCTGCTTAGAACCCAAAACAACTGAAATTCTTCCCCCCCCAAATTTCAAGAAAGAAAAATCTCAAAATGTCACTTAGAAGATTCTTATCTAAGAATCTAAATGTTTCCAAAAGCTACAATGAATAAAAAATTTGGTTTTAGAGCAGAAATTATTCTATAGTCTTAACTGCAGGAATCTTTAACACATCTATTATAAAATATACTTATATATACATACCGCTTCTGCTTGTCAGGCAAGATAACAGTCGCAGTTACAAAATTTATTCGTCAGCAGGACTGTAAAACTTAGAACAGAAAATAATATCAACAATACAAAAACAAATCCTGTGATGCAAGGCAGACAATCTGTACAGCACACCCACCATATTCATACTCTGCCATGGGAACCATAGTAGGCATTAACCCATGAATATTACATCCAGATCCAAACATAAGCATTCCTACAATTCATAATAATCTTGATCCAGGAATCTGATTTGAAACTGTCATTAGTTTGAAGTGTCCTTATAATATCATAATGCAGGCTGACAACTGAAAAAGAAGACCACCCATCCTCTCCTCACACCAAACCATATGAAACACTTTTGGAACCACGAAATGTCCATTGGCTGTAAAATTAGAATCAGCCTGAAGCCCAAACTACTATCTTGGTAGGATGAGATAGAGCAAAGGAGACAATATGTGGTTTAGATAATTTACAAAAAGTCTTGCTTCCATTTTAGTCAGTGGTCAACCATTCATAGACTTCAAAGAGAAAAAAAGCAGACCCTGTGCACTGATTTAATCTCTGTGACCCCCACCCCTCTGATTGCTTGGAGAAAATCAGTCACGAAACCTCATGAGCAGACTCCTGAAAGGATTGGTAGTTCTTGCTGGAGGAATATATCAAATCAGTATTTTTGTTCATTGAAGAGCAAATACCATATTGAAGGAGAGGAAAGGAAATATATATAAACTGTTGAATATAAAATATGATCTACTGTTCCACTGCCTATTTAACCAGGTTATCAAATATTCCATTAGAAATAACTTCTCTCATTTAAAGTACACTTAATGTAGGGGTCATTTCTACCTTTTTTTTTTTTTTACACCTTTGCTGTTGCCAGTACAGCATGCAGATCATTAAATCACTCATTTCTATTTGATTGATAGGAAAGATGAAATATCCACAGAGAAAACAGGTGGCAAAAAGCTGGAAGACATTCCTTCCATTTCTACAGGTAAAATCAAATCTGCTGCTGTGCGTCTGCCCATTAAATAGAATTGCTAAAAGCAGTGATTCATAGATCTTAGAAGGCTGTAATTTAATGAATGCAATAGAAGCATGACAAGTTCAGTGAAGTACAATGAAAATGCTTTAGCAAAATAACCTATAGGAAGCATTTTTTGATTTCTTTACAGCATGTCTGCTACTCAAATGTAGCATTCCAGGTTTGTTTCACAGTCTTTAAATGCATATATTTTCCTAGTTTCAGGAGAGTAGAAAGTAGAGCTGATTTTGTTTCAGTTATGAAATAACATTTAGACTGTCAGCTGCTGCATTCTTTTAGTCAAAATAAGCAAGCGGATGAAAATGAAGAATTACTTTAACCAGAAAGTCACAGTGACGCCAAGACTTTACTTTGAGCAGATTATTCCAATTAGAATTACCAACACTCTTGTGTACTACAGTTCTTTAAAATAACGTTAGAAATTTATGCAGTGATAAAAATGTGTAAATATGAGCATTTTGGTTCAAGGACAAAATATCCTGCACACATATTTTTATGAGGGCCAAATATGACAGAATCTTATTGATAGCAACTTCCAGCATGGTAATTTTGTCCCTAGCTGGAAAACTCTGTGAAAGCCTCTTGCTAGTTTAAATTGAGCCCTAAAGAAAGGTGGCTATCATAAAGACAAAGATCTTGATTGGCAAAATCAAGCTTAGACATTTGGTGATATATAATGCAGTATGACAGGAAATGATAAAATATTATTAATTTACATAATTTCATTGATGCATAGTCAGTGCCATTTTTGCCTTCAGTCACACACATGCAATGTTACTGATGTTTTGACCTGGAAAGAAAGGCCATCTATTGTATAAAAAGTAGCAGCTTTACCCATGCCATAAGTCATGATGAGGTGACACCTGACCAACAGAGAAAAGGGAAGATTTTTGATATTCAAACCTGTTCTTGCCTGATTTTACTTTAAACCCCCCCAGGCTCCCCTGGCACATCCCTCTCTCCATATGCACCAGTATCTAACGGCACGCTGCTCAACGAAATTGTTAACGACACGAAGACTCCTGTGAAGGTGAGGGCAGCCTGTTTTCCTATCCCACTTTTTCACTCACCTCTTCTTTTTGAGCTCAGCTAGCAGAAAAGAGAGGGAAGCCTTATAAACACTTAGTGCTTATAAACCGTGAGTGCTCCCCTCTGTTACTGCTAGTAAGACTGAAGGGTTTTCTTAGCATCTGTTGTGTACTGGAATAGTGCATGATGTTTCTTGCGTATGAGGTAGAAAGTATAAAAATATGGCAACCAGCTTTTAGGCAGAGTCTTCATTCTTTTAATGAGGGGCCCATTGCCTATTTTGCAACCTTGTTCTTCATTAAACAATGTAAAAAGGCATACCTTCTGAGCTTTCCACAACACAGGCGATAGGACTGGACCTTCTTGCCTTTTTCCTGCCAGAGAGCCAGCTGTCAAACAGGGGATCTCTGATGTCTCCTCAGAGCAGCCATGCAGCATGGTGCCAGGGGCTACCCCCTCCTCCGCAGGTTTACAACAGCTACCACAGGCCACAGGTCATGTCTGAGACAGGGGTGGAGGTGAAAAGAGGGGCAGTTATTTTCCCTGTCCTGGCCTCTGCACCTGGGGGTGGCAGGGAGACGGCCCTGGCCTCAGCTTAGCTCTATGGCTTCATGGAACCTTCCAGAATCTCCCTCTGGAGAGAGACCGAGGCCTCACCAGGGCCCCAGGGCCCAGGGTGGACCCTGCTGCCGAGGAGCACCCAGCAGGAGCCGGCCCCTTGCATTTCCCCTCTGCTTTGCTCTGAGATATTTTTCAATTTCTAAAACATTTGCCCTTCTAGAGCAGCTCTGGGGGTTTTTTGCTGGTTGTGCATACTGGCTGTAGGAAGAGGCTCATGCCGCCTCCTCCCCACTTGGGTGAACTCAAGGTCTCGGTGCTGCCACCGCCAAGAATTGGAGGGCAGAAATGCTGGCCAAAACCTCACCCATCACACCCCTGGCAAATTGCCACCATTCTCCATCCCACCTCTGCAAGCTTCTCAGCTCCAGCACAGGAATTGCACCAGAGTGCTCCCAGTTAAATGCTACTTTTACTGCCCAGAATGATTACATCCTCAGGATCTAAGAAAACAAAATAATCTTAATATCCTCAACTGTCTATTAGCTACCTGTATCATAGCTGTTGGAGTGAAAGAGCAGATAGAATATGAGGAAAAAATGGTTTTAAAATTTCTTATTTGTGATGTTTGAGATGTACTGGGAGATTGGCATTAACCAATTCCTCCATGTTATAGATCTCCTCATTCTTCCTCGGCCCAGTACTTTGTGACCAGCTCCCTAAAGGCTGGCTCCTCAAAAGTCATAGGGCAGCTGTATAGAAAGTGCATATTCCTTAATCTTCTGTTTATATGATAGAACATTACAGAATGTTCTTTCTCTAACTGATGAGCCATATTTTTATACACAACACAAAACATACGTTCCTCTAAAACTGAGGCATCCTAAGGAATGGCTTAGCAGAGCTGAGTTATGCAGAATCAATGGGTGCAGAAAGTGTTCTCTCCTGTTTCACTCGTTCTTTATTATATTAATGTCTTATTTTCTCTCTTATCCCCTGACACACCGTAATTGCACGTAATATTTCTTGTTCTGCTTATTCTTGGAAGCTATCAAAACCTAGGTGTTATGTATGGAACAGATGTCTCTGGCAGCCTCGTGCCAACCCACCTGGCAGGAGAAGTGGAAATCCCACCTCTCTGTGGGATTCAGGCTGATGAGCTTGCTGCTCTTTTGGGCCACTTTCTTCTTGATCATTGTCTTGCTCTTGTTGTGTTTGTTTGTTTATCCAAGGTATAAAAAGCCTGGCTGAGAGTTGAATTGTCCTTGAGCAAATAAAAATATTAAAAAGTGTTTAAAGAATACCCAATATGTAAGTATTGCTTACAAGTATAAGCATGCAATGTATATGCAGTACATGCAGTAAAGAAAAACTTGTGTTCCAAGACCTTCGTATTTTTAACAGGCAAACTTTATAGAACCCTGAAAGGTTTTCAGAAAAAAACTAAAGGCTTTTTTGTGTAATAAAATACATTGGCAGTGGAACGCAGGGATGGTATCTGTTAACATTAGTAACAAGATTTGTGACGAAGGACTGAGAGATTGGCAAAAGGCAGGAGTTTCCTAGGTGGCCTCTCTGCATCCCCTCTTCAGGTAACTTGCATTCCAAGACTTGAAATTTGAAGCTCAGCTCTGTTTGTGAATAAGGAACAAGGGATACCTTCTGATGTTAAAATTAGCAAATGTGTATTGTTATATCTAAGATAAGTTAGGAAATCTTTCCGAATGCATCCATAGTGGCTCTCCTCCTTGTGGCCAGCACATCATAGCCTACAAATGAATTGGTTTTTGCAGTTTAGCGTTACTAAAGGGAAAAATTAGTAAGTGTATGCCAAAACTGCAAATAGTGCCGGGAAAAACTAAACAAAACAAGAGTATTTTTAATAGCAGTAAAGTCAGCTGCATAGTAAAGGTATAACACAGGTAGGGCTAGTTCTACTTTATTATTAGGAAAAAACCAAATGCAAACGTCTGAACATGAAACAGTAACAGAGAGTCTGTCACTCTGCTCTGGTTGACCATGGGTGTTCTGAGGGTAGGATCCAACTAGCTTTTAGCATTTGCTTGTCACTCTCCTTGATGTCACGCACTTTCCTCCAAAGTGGCAAATAAAGCTATGTGACTTTAATGATGATGGAAGTAAGAAGACTTGGAAACAGTCTGTGTGCAAGAAATGGCTTGATTCTCTTCATCACCTTCATTTATGTGTATCAAAGGCAACTCTCAAGTCACAGTAGTAGAAACTTGTTTGCAAAGGCAGAAGAATTAAACCAACAGATGTGGCTAGGAACTCTCGCCTTTTGTAGGATATGGTTCAGAAAGTTACTTTGGGGACAGGCTTAAAAAGGAACCCTTCTATATATCAAATACTGAAATGTGGGGGAAAAGCACTTAGTTTTATTTCTCTCCTTTTTTTCCTCTCCTCTTCTTTTCCAGGAGCTGGGAACAAATACAGTCCCAGAACTGCCTCTGGAGCAAATGGTAGAATTCAGTGTTACTCTCACTGATCAGGAGTACACAGCTGAACTTAATGATCCCAACTCCCCACAGTACCGACAACTCGCTGCCAAATTTCAGCTACAGGTAAGGAGGCTGAGTGAATGCCAAAATGTTGGCTTTGTACCTTGACCAAGATTCATAATATGAAACTACCTTTACCATGAAACAGAACCAGTATCTACTGCACTCATTTAAAATAGATAATTCCTGTTGTCTCAAGACCTTCAGTTTTCCTTCATGTATAGCCAGCTTTTCCCCTTGTTCAGGCCATCTGTTCAGCCACCAAGCTAACAAGCCAATGTCTTCGTCAGCAGTAGAGCCTCAGATAACTGACGAACAGAGTAACTTTAGGAATATCATTTGGGCTTATTCAGGAATTCATGGACAGTACTTTGTCATAATTTAATTTCTACAATAAACTTAGTAAGAAATGTAATATAAATGTTAAAAGTAATTAGTTACTGTTGTCTGAACTATTCTTCAAAGGGCTTCCAGTAATTTTGTTGTGCATTACCACAGTTTCTGTAAGAAGTGGAACGTCTGTGGTGTTTTCATATAATTAATAATATTAACTCAATGTTCAGCTATCAGTTTAATAGATAGCATTCCTTAGCGCAAGCTATTTCATTATCATGGTTCAGTTTCAGATATGCATAGAAAAATGGTGAAGGATGTGCTGGCAGAGCTGGTAAAAAGTGGCTTCTCTGGAGATTTCCAGTATTATCCTCACACAGAACTGCCTGCAGACTTTGTGTACTACACATAAAATGATGTAATTCATGAATCTGACTTTTAAGTTATTTCAGTAATTTCATTAGTAGGAGGGGGTGAAATGCAAAGTTTCTTGATTGTTAAATTATTTTCCATTGTCATGAAATTTTATCTGTCACTTTAAAGAGTCCAGAGCTGTTCTTGACATGCAATGTTGAATTGTAGTCCGATGATTTGTAGTCCAGTACCATGAAATACACCTGACGTGCTTTCCTCCAAAGATAGGTCATGGAGGAGGCAGAGGGCAATCTTGATACAAGACAGTTTTACAAGTGCACTCGAAAGGTGAGAGTGAGGAGACTGGATGCAGAATTAAAACCTCATCCAGCTACATGAGCTCCTGTACAAATTGCAGAGAAGCCCTTGCAAAGCCTGGGGCCATGGAGTTCGAAGCTCAGTTTCTAATTCATTCCAGGACATGGCAAGAGGGAAGAGTTACAGCAGACGCTACAGTGCAAGTGTTCAGAAGTATATCTGTACACCACACTTAAAATCACATGAAAAACAGAATGCAGATTCAGGTGCTTATGCTACTCAGTGAATCAAGATTCGGCTGGCGAAAGTAGGAAATAGGAAGCTACATATGTGCATACAGTTAAAAGAAAACATCAACTTCATTATGATATAAAGAGAATGAAGAAGAGATTGAACAGAGCCCGTGCCAAGAGTCAGCTGGTAGAACATGGCTAAAATGGGATTCAATTGCCTAAACATGAACATCTGGTGCCATTTTAGGTGCCTCAGGTCATCCAAAGCATCTACAAGGGCCTCTCAAATATGAGAGAGCTGCACTCTTTTGAGCCAGCAACTAAGCAGAAGATGACCTTAAGGCATCTAAAATGATAGTGCTTGCCTAAGTTTAGGAAAATTACTTGCATCCCAGTGACTGAGGCCCTTAATCTCCATTACTTTCAGTGACCATTAGTCACATGAATAACATTTAAAATCTTCCCACGGTCTAATTGTTACTTCTGCACCACTTTTATTAAGTCAGACCAAGCTCAAAACGAAGTATTTACCTCAGCTCCTTTCCTACTGTCCTCTTGTGGGAGATGGGCAAGGGGAGCGTAGATGGTAGGCCATTTTCTGCTCTAGACTTCAGCTTCTCTTCTGCTTGCTGCAATGAAAAAGACATCTAGGCTGATACAGTGTGGCTGATACCTGGTATTGTGATAATATACTGATCTTCTGCTACTTCTTCTTCACTTAACCTACATAAGAGATGCAGAGAAAGCTGTGGGTCTGACTGCCCATTCCTTATCTGTTCTGACAAACTCTCACGCATGAATGAATGAGTTTTAAGTGTATGCTGGGTTTGTACAGAATCATATAGCTAAGGAAGAGGAAAGATCTCCACATTAGTTCATATACTTTTTAAGTGATATGATGAATTAAAAGGACTTGATTCCTCAAAAGGCTTTTTCACTTCTTTTCAAGTGCTAAATTTCCTCAACTCCACAGGCTTTGCTCGCAGATGAAAGGCTTAGATGATGTGTTGCCTGGTACTTAACATGACCAGGAAGTGAATCAGAAAGGAACTGTGGGACTGTGTGTTTAAAAAAAAAATTCCTTTCCTCTGGTATAGTAGATGTACATAAAATATTCCATTTGACTTATCTGTATAAATGTTGCTACAATTGGAAAAGACCAAAAGATCAATCAGCTGGATCTCAAAACATTGTTAATTCTTGAGGTGCTGATAAAAAAGTTATTATCCTAAGGGCTGAAAAATATATACAGAATTCACCTTTTCTGCTCATTGTTTATTCTTCATATTGTCTCTTCTATTCAAAACCATGTAATTGTAAAATTGCTTACATTAGAATTAAAAATATATGAAGTTGTTCTATTTGTACAAGACAGGTAAAACTGTTTAATTTATAAATGGTTTGTCAAATAATCAAATCCATCTGCATTTGGCTAATATTTCTGAATAATTAGCAATTTACAGTTAAGGTGACTTGAATCACAAAATTATTCATGAACCAAAATTGCTGAAAATAAAAAAAAAAAACATTTGATTCATATTGTTTGACTTGCTCTATTATGAACTAGATTATCACTGATTTACATAATTACATTACTAAAAAAAGCTGTATTTTGTACTTCATTTTGCCTATTAATGGGTAATATAGGCAGCATATACAAACCAAATATTGTGTTTAAGTTGAGCAATGATGATACCACAAAGAGGACAGTTGAGACTGTTTCCTAAAGCTCTTTCTGAAATATGAAAAATACTGTCTAAGTTGTCAACCTGTGCGTGCGTTTTAACCATAGAACTTACACTGAATTAATGATTTTATGTTTTTCTATAGATGCAAAAAATATTTGAGAAACTTCCAGGATTCAAAGAAATTCATGTATTAGGATTTAAGTAAGTAAGAAAATGGGACTCATTTTTCTATTGGCTACTAGGATTCTCCTCTTCCTTCTCTCCCTCCAACGTGAAGAGACCTATAAAATAGTAGGGTGTGTATTGCTATAAACAGAAAATAGATTTTTGGGAACAACGCAGAGATAATATGGAGAGAAGTGCAAACACATCCCAAGTGAGACTATAAGGTTTTGAATTACTAAGCAGAAGAAGCTTTGATTCCCTGAGGGGTGTAGTGATCAATAAATCCTTTGAAATTTTTTGCTAGCAACATTTTATTAAGGACTTTCTTAAATGACAAGGTAAATAGAGTTAGGAGTATGATTATTTAGGTGGCTACTTTTTTGAGTGTGGATCCTGTGCCCTTCATAGATCATAGTGAAGGTGCCTTGGCAAGAGAAGGTTGCAGGAAGATACATGTTCACAAATACAAAACTTTTCCAATAGGTGTTTCCCAGGTGTTTCAAACAATTAAAAATGTTTCATTTTTTAATAGATTTGTGTTCTGTTTTGCCATTTTTTTTTTAGTTTTAGCTTCCTTGTATGTTTACTGCTAATACAAGCTACTGTGTATTTTTTCAATAGAGAATCTGCAGGGGAGGGGGGATCAAAAGTGAGTATTTGATATGGTTATGCTTCTATAGGTAAGAAAACATTATGTAAAGAATCAAGAGAAAAACAAATTACTAATAGTAAGAAATAACATAAAATTGAAAGGGAATAAAGAGCAGGAAAAAAGACATCAATTCATGTGGGCTTATGGCACAGCATCAGGAATATTCAGTCCTTCTAGTAATATTTAATACATGTGGAAGAACATTCATATTGCAATGCAATTTTAACAAGAGCATACTTCTTCCTAGCTTTTCTCTCTTCAAAATTGCTGGGGAAAAGGAGAGGGAAGAGCAAAATAGAGTGAAAATTAGTTGCTTACATTTTGACAATGAAAGTAAGAAAACAAAAAGCTGGCTACTGCAGAACAGAGAAAATCTGTAGTAGCATCTCATAGTTACAACATGTAATAACTAACCTCTTTCAGTTGTGACTCCAGGAGATCTGGGATTCATTTCTGTTTAGTATCTTGGTCTTAGGAGCTGATATGAAAGTACATCCATCAATGTGGAAGACCAGGATTGCTTCCCATCATCTAGCAATTTAGTTAGCTCCTGAGAGTTACAGGTCAGTAAAGACAGGTGTTAATGCCCATTCTCCCTTAGCCATATTGTTACATATATTAGCAGCATTTCCCACAAGGCAATATGGAAGGACAACATTAGAGATATGCTAGAGAATTCATCAGGAAAATAACAGGGCATTATATCACAGGAGGTCAACACAGGCATGTCTTCCAGAGGTAATTAATAGGTCAAGTTACCCCTGTGACTAAGACCTGAGTAGGCACCATGTGTGATAACAGTAATAGTTGCTACTACTGTTACAGGTGTTCGTTGCTACCATAAAGATATAGCTTAGCAATGACGGTGGTCAAATTGCACCGTTTGGAGTGGGAAATAGGAAAGCAGATATTTCAAACTATCAAGGTAAAGTAAAATTCCTGTTTCCCCACTCAAAACATGGAGATTCCCATTATTTGAAAGGGAAAAAGTGAAATGGTGGAGAGTAGGCTGTTATTTTCACACAAAGATAAAAATTATAGATGACACATAGAAGATAAGATAAATTGTCAAAAGATGTTTTTGATGTACAACTGATTGATTTGCCAGTATACATAAATCTTTGTTTTTCTTTCTTTTGCAATCCTTTATCACACCCTTTCTTCTGTGATGAAATGAAGACAGAAGAAGGAGAAAGATGGGTAATTTGTCTGTAATTCATGATTAAGATTAATCATTTTATAGACTATTAGATGTAGATAGATACATCAATAAATGTTCTTCATCTTGATGTGACAAAACAAATTGATTTGTGTTCTGCCTAAGTACAAAATCTGTGATATAAAGCAGCAGGGACAGCTTTTACCTTAATCTGAAAAGTTCATGTAATCAAATTTTGTCAGGATCTCTCTGAAGGAAAGAAAATTGTTTGACCTAAGAGAATTCACATTCAGATGACTAAAGATCTCTATCAGTCATAAAGTGAAAGTGAAAAAAATAGGGAAACTTCATATTTAAATTTTCTTCTTTGATCTGCTGTTTCCTAGCTGTATTCCCATATACACATTATCTTCAATAAATATGTAGAATTTCATTTGTTATCTCTATTATCAGGCCAGAATGGCAAAGAGACCAGTTACTAGCTTGATAAAATGCAGGGAGCTTTTGACTGGTAATACAGCTACAGAGTCTGTTGTTGTTGCTTGAAAGTGCTGCTGGGGAATAATTTGCCTAGCAGTTCCCAGAATTTCTTTTACTCGTAGTTTAAAAGGAAGAATTGTCTAATGCTTTTCCTGAATTCTTGCAATGTCATGTAAATGTAAATACATAGCACATACTAGATAAAGTGAAATTCCTCTCTCTCCAGTTATTTGATATTATAAAAAGCAACATAGTGGAGTACAAATATTTTACAATGTACTCATTATTTTTCATTTTAATTAGGTGAATTTAGCATTTATGAAAAGTGATGTATTAATAATTGTGAAAATTTGAGACCTCTGTTAAACAAGTACATCTAGGGAGAAGCTATACACGTTTATTTGGATTTGGAAAACCTAACTCCCATTGTGAAAAGTGATTTGCTTGCCACATTAGCTTTCTTTCTTTCTTTCTTTCAAAAAAGACTAAAAAATTGCCCCAGATGTGATAGGATTTTTCGTTATTTGTAGTTTTATGAGCTGTCTAATCCCTTTTCATAGGTTCCTGTATAATTAATAGGTGATTATGGCTTCTAGTAACCCCAGCATGCATTTATGACTGTTTGAACCAATAATCAATGACTTCAAACTATATTACCAGTTCTAAAGATCTCTGAATAGTCAGGTTAAACTAGATTATGTTAGAACTTTTTTATAATTTTCTTCAATATTGGAATTTTTATTAAAAGTTATGCACAGAAGAAAAAAGTTTTAGGTATAGCAAAAGTAATTTGAAGATGGCGGTCTCATTAGAAAGGAGTATATCTGCATTATTTTTACAGAAGATAATATGTTATGGTTGCATATATTTTTGCTTGTTTGTTTGTTTTTTTGTAAAATCAGTCCTCAGCCAGTAACTGATTTTGCTGCATTGGGCATTTTTGCATCTTCCCCTTGCAGATCAAGCAGCACTATAGCACGATATGTGGTAAACTTCGAGAGAGATGGCTCAGAAATCAAAAGCACAGCAGATGATATCTCAACTATTGGATCTAATAAGGTTGAAAATGAAAAAATTCCACTTTCTCCAAAGGACGAGAGGGAGATATCAGCAACTAAACTCACAGTAACAGACCTTCAGCAACTGGTTGCTATAGCACTCCACGAAGACCAGTCCCTGCCAATGGACCTTGGAACACTTCAGTTTACTGATGGTCAGTAGGCAGGCCGGTGCCCGGCACAGGTCTGAACCTTGCCCTTTCAAACTGATGCACTTTCAGTAAGGTCTCCTTTGCTTCTCTAACAGATAGTTTTCATTTGATGTATCCCGTTCTCCTAAGTGTTGCATAGCATTCAAAGGATACACAGATCTAAGTTAAATTTTATAGCAAAATGTACCTTCATAATTATACATCCTAACTTCGAATCATATTGGGGGATCTATTTTTCTTGGTTGTTTGTTCAGAAAAGCTGGATATTTTGCACACTGAGGCAAATAAGAGGAGAAAAAAAAGAAGAAATACTATGAATATTCACGATATCATTTTAATTTCCTAGTATGGACCGTCTCCTTTCTTTAACAAGACAAAAAGTGAAGGCTTCCTTTACCATAAATTTAGCTCTCTGAAAGCTAAGTTTTGATTGAAAGCAAGCCCTCAAACCTCCCAGTGAAGTCAGAGAGACAGACACCTTAAAGGGCATTTGATCCCAAGCTAAAATTGGTGGTGTGAATCGCACTGTAAAGGTGCATTTTGCTCTCTGAAACACGGAGTGTGTATGACAAGACAGTCATATGTGAAGACCTCCAGCAGAAGGTAGAAGGGCTGCATCCTGTTCAGTAATCCAGCTAATAAAAATCCCCTTCTAGTCCATCAAGGATTTTTTCAAAGCTAGCATAGCCCTAATTTTGGGAAGGTGGGTTAAAAATGGGGAAAATAATTTAAAATATATTTTCATGTGTATATTTACCAAAACAAAACACACACCAAATTTTAGCTGTAGTGTTTCATTTACAAACAGCAGCATTTTCTTGCCAAAAAAAAATTTAGATGAACTAATACTTTCTGTAAGAAAAAAATGTTATATTTTAATGTAGATTAAAAGTCCCAAGAAAAAATTTCATGGATATAGAACACTTTAATAATAACAACTATTTTAATCAACTTTTTCCCACTAGTTATTTCTTATAACCAGTTTTAGAAAAAAAGCTTGCATGCAAGTATGTTTAAAGAGCTCCTTTGAGGGGGTGAAGGGAGCAACTGGGCACTAAAGCCAAAACGCTGAGAGTAACAATGGTGTGGACTCTGGGTAAAACTGAAAAGAATTTAGGCTTAATGAACAACACAATATAATGAGTCATCATAGCCCATGCGGATTTAACTGAGCGGT